AGTCTAAACTTAAAGCTGGATCAAAAATAACTCCCAGGTTTCTATTGTTGGCCTTGGCTGATGGGCAAAAAGAGGCAATTTCTTGCTCGATTTTTGGCTGAAGTTCCGGGGGTGCGGCGATCAGGGTCTCTGTCTTGTTGGCGTTGAGGACAAGAAAGTTGCTGGACAGCCAGTTACTGATCTGGGTCAGGCAGAGTACAAGTGTGGCCAGCCTGTCCAACTGGTGTGGCATAAAGGACATATAGAGCTGAATATCATCAGCGTAGATGTGGTAGGAGATGTCTGGGAAAGACTGAATGATGCCAGCTAGGGGAAGAATATAGAATACAAATAGTAGAGGCCCTAGAACTGAACCTTGTGGGACCCCGCATGTTAGAAAGGCAGTATCTGAAGAGAAGGTTTCGGACTTCACTGTGAATGTTCTGTTAGTGAGATAAGAAGAGAGCCAGTCTAGAGCAGAACCTGAAATCCCAGCCAGGGCCTTTAACCTGTTTAGTAGAACGTTGTGGTCTACAGTGTCAAAAGCTGCACTGAGGTCAAGCAGGACCATGACAGAGCATTTCCCTGCATCAGCAGCCATCAGGAGGTCATTATGCACCCTTACTAGAGCAGTCTCAGTTGAGTGCTGCTTCAGAAAGCCAGATTGGAAGGGGTCAGAGATCTTTGACTTAGAAAACCAGGATCTGAGTTGGGTTTCAACAACCTTCTCAAGTACTTTGCTGATGAAAGGTAGCTTAGAAATGGGCCTAAAGTTACTGGTGGAGCTGGCGTCAAGGTTGGGTCTCTTTAAGAGAGGAGTCACTACTGCATTTTTAAAGTAAGATGGAACACAGCCTTGGCTCAGTGAGCTGTTGATCATAGTCAACAGAGATGGACTGATGGAGGCAAGGGACCCGACTAAGACAGAGGGAGTTAAGATATCTGATGAGCATGATGAGAGTTTCATCTGACTGATTATTGAGGTTAAGTCATTTAGTGTAATTGGGGAGAAGGAGGTGAAAGACTCGGAGCACTGGGGGGCCTCCCCTCCTGAGGGGGCGAGGGCTGGTGGAACGCTGGATCTCTGATTCAACACCTTGTTTTCAAAAAAGTGGAGAAAGGTGTTACAATCATCAGCTGAAGATAGCTGAGCCTGCTGCGGAGGAGAAGACACGATGCTGGAGATGGTATCAAACAAAACCTTAGGATTGTTCTTATTTTGACATATGAGGTTGCTGAAGAAAGAAGACCTGGCATTTTCTACAGCTTCGTTGTATGACTCGAGAAGTTCTTTAAAATATTCGCGATGAACAACCAGACCTGTCCTCTTCCACCGTCGTTCCGCTTTTCTGTAGGAGCGTCTAAGATCAAGAATCTGGTTGTTCAGCCAGGGTGAACTGGAGGCACTGGAACTGCAGCTGGTTTTGTAAGGGGCGACCTGATCTAGAATTTTGAGGCAGTGATCATTAAATGAGTTGGTGAGGAGCTCTACGTCATCAGAGGAAGGAGGTACAAAGTCAAAGAGGGAGGAGAAATTTAAAATGGTAGAACTGTTGATAATACGTCTTTGCTTAGCAGAGACTGGTAAAAGAGATTCAGAATTTAGGTTAATATTAAAAGAAACTGACTTATGGTCACTGAACACAACATCATGTATCTGCAGCTTATCAACAAGAAGTCCGTAGGAAAAGACCAGATCCAGGGTGTGGCCTGCTCTGTGAGTGGGACCAGACACGTGTTGAGAGAAGTTAAAAGAGTTCATCATGTTTAGGAACTCCCTAGTGGAGCTGTTAGATAGATCCTCAGCGTGGATGTTGAGATCTCCAACAATGATTATCCTGTCTAGTTTAATAGTTGAAGATAGGAGATCCTGAAAGTCAGACAGGAAGGATGAAGTAGATCCAGGTGGGCGATAGACCAGAATTCCATAAACTGGTAGAGCTCGACCAATTTTAATCATGATCATCTCGAATGAGCTGTAGGAGTTTGAGGATATAATTTGGCACGATAAGTGTTTCTTAAAGATAACAGCTGTTCCTCCACCGCGGCCTGTGGTTCGTGGAGCAGAGAAGAAAGAGCAGTCTTGAGGACAGAGCTCAGGGAGATGAGTGACGTCATTTTCGCGCTGCCACGACTCAGAAATCCACAAAAAGTTTAATTTTTTGGTCCAGAACAGATCGTAGAGGATGTGAGACTTGTTGGCGATGGAGCACGCGCTAATCAACATAATTTTCGCGGAGGAATCTGGCGGTGAATGTGCCGCGGGCTCGATAATGGCGGGCGGCTGGCGGGCTAAGCTACGTAGCGACTCCAGGCTACGCCTGCGGAGGTTCTTTGTCTCCCACGCCTTCAGGTAGCGTCCCGCATCAGGGGCTCCATTGAGCAGCGAGCTCAGCCCAACTCTGTTTAGTTTCTGTTGGATCCGCCACACCACAGCCGCGGAGCAGCGATCAGGCAGAGCTTCGCCTCTCAGGATCTTTCGAAGCTGAACGAAGAAGCCGGCTCTCTTCCCCCGTTTCCTCTTCCATGGCCTCCTGGGCAGCGGCAGGCCGACAGGTAACAGAGGGCCGAGACCTGGGTTAATGCCAGGTTCCAGAGGCGGTGGGAAAGCGGGTCCGGTATCGGAGTTCTGGAGGTTGATCATCGCGGACCTGATCGACAACAGTAAGTCTCGATCATATGTTAGCAGGGACTCCGCACCAGATAAAGAAGAAACAATAAAAAACACCAAATAACCAAAAAAGATCAGGAGCCTAGCAGACGTACAACCACTCATGGGCGCCATCTTGTACTCAAAAGTACAAGTGGCAGCGGCAGCACAAGTGGCACTTGCGGTGGCAGCTCTGACACTTCTGGGTGGTGCCACGGCTTTTAGTGACACCTGCCACAGCTGCCACGGCCCCTGCCACTGCTGACATGACACTTCCGGGTAGTGCCACGGCTTTTAGTGGCACCTGCCACAGCTGCCACGGCCCCTGCCACTGCTGACATGACACTTCCGGGTAGTGCCACGGCTTTTAGTGGCACCTGCCACAGCTGCGACGGCTGCCACGGTACCTGCCACAGCTGCCACGGTTTACAGTGGCACCTGCCACAGCTGCCACACACTGTAGTGACACCTGCCAGAGAAATGATTGGCTCTACCAGCCTGGAGCGCCACCTCTGGCAGATCGGAGTGTCATCTCCTTGCCAGGCAGAGCTGCCACTACGGATTACACAATTGCAGCATTTATTGCATCATCGGCCTCATCATGCCAAAGTTTTTTTTATAACTTTATTAACAAAATCAAAACAAACAAGGCTGTCACCGAAAATATTTTAAATATTTCAAGTGGTTTACAAATACATTTCCCAGTCACTCCATGCATATACAGTGTAATGCAATCAGAAGCGTTAATGCATTTATTTTTTCCATCATTTTTATTGCTCCCCCAGACAAATCCGTGGCAGCTCTAGTGGAAGATCCACAGACACTTCCGGGTTGAAGACCGGCGTTGGGTCACCGGCCTCCGGTACGGAGTCAGGAAGCATGGGAGCACCAGAGGCAGATGGAGACCACCAGAGCAGTTCTCAATTTCTGAAATAATTTATGACCACTGCTACCAATGTGGATTGTGGAATAAAAAGAGATAAACTGTTAGTTTTCTCTATGTTGTCATTGCTATCGGGGCAGATACCGCCATCTGCCGGCTTAAAATGGGTATTGCAGTACATTTTAAACAACTTGGAAGTGAAAAGGCTGTTTGTCACTACAACGGATTTGGGGATGTAGTTTATTGTTAATAGATATTGTGGTTTTACAACAATAAAGTTTTGTATTGTGTATGTATAGTGTGTATATAGATTTATCACTCTGTAATGTAAAGGGACTCCAATAAAGAAGACTTAGAACACAATAAAACTTTATTAAAACCAAGACCTACACTGTAAAAAGAAAAAGTTGATCCAACTTAAAAAATTGCCTCAATTGGTAACAAGCAATTTAATTAAGTTTATCCAACTTAAATTATTAGTACAATTTCAATAATTTAGGTTGGATAAACTTAATTAAATTGCTTGTTACCAATTGAAGCAATTCAATTAGGTTGATTAAACGATTTTCTTTTTTCAGTGTATGCTGTTTAGTCTTGTACCTCAAATCTGGAGAAAACTTTGAGGTTCTTCTCATCTATGATACAGGAACAGAACTTGTCATAGTCATTTTTATTTTCAAAAACATAAGTCAAATGTTCTGCTGGAGAGTCATAATCATGGTCCTCGTTCCATCTTTGAACTGCCTCAAGGACTTCCTGCTGTTCTTCCTCATCCATGGACAGAAAGGATGGCACTTTAACCATTCCCTCGAACATTGTTCCCTTTACCCACTCAGCTGCTGCCAAAATACTGCTTTCCTGTGAAAATGACAGACACACACACATCCATCCATCCATCCATCCACACATGCACAATGTTTATGCATGTATGCTGAAAACCCCTCTTTGATTTCGAAGTAGAAGTTGCAAAATTCCCGGGACATCAAACACCCTCCGCCCTCACTGTAAATATATACATATGTACTATATACTATGCTTGTTATGTGTGCTTTACCTTTGGAGTGTCATCATTAATGGCCAGTTCTGCTTTTCTGTGAGGTCAGAGAAATCATAGCGTTTCAAAATTTCAGCTTATTATACATGCTCCTAACAGGAGTCAGCACCCAAATGTTACTATACCCTTCATTGTCAATGAATGGCTTGGTCTTCATAAGCAAGTCTTCTGCTTGAAAACGGCACATGACATCTGTAGTCTGCAGCCACTGAATCAGAGCCTGTAAAACAATTTTACATCAAATTAATTTGGAAAAAGTTAGAATCTACATTATGCAGATCTTTGACCACATTATTATTGTGAAGGCACTATTTTCTGTTGGTGAAAATGTAATTTTAGCATCCAAATTCTTCCTGCTTGTGTTACAAAACATTACAAATACTAGTAAGTTGTGTTTTTTTATATTTATAAGTGTCATATAAACATACCTCGGGCAGAATAACATCTGTTATGAAATGAGGATCCACAGATGTAGTTCCTGAAAGTGACAGGACTCTTTCCAAACGCTGGATGATTGTTTCAGTCTGGAACAGGAAGTAATAAATATAATAAATGAACAATAAAATTATACAATTGGGAGGTTGGAGAGAAAACCATTAAATTCTTTAGTTCTGTATAACTTCCAATTAACGTTCTTGTCAATAACACATTTATAAATTTTACCATGGCCAATTTACACCTTATCCTGAAGAATCTGTTTAGTAATTCTTCTTTTAGTAATATTGTATAAATGTGTATTTGTATTTACTGTACATATTTAGAGTGTAACAGGGACGGTGTTTTAAAAAGTACATTAACCTCAAGGGGAAATATGCACCGGTTGTACCGGTTTATAGGTTAAGAACTAATTTCAGCCTGTAGTCCCAGGGAAGGCTGCTTTCATAAGAACATGTTTTGAAATGTCATGTTAAAAAAAGGAATGCATAAAAAAGGACAAATTTGATATTAAATTACATTAAAACTTACCGTGCATACACGCAACAAACGTTATCTACACCCTCTCATCTACATTGGTTGTCGGGTGTTGGTGCAAGTTTGCTTTGATGAAAGGTCGGAAACAGAAGAACATTTTTTTCAATTTACCAGTTATGTAGGTAACTAATTCTATTAACAAATATTTACACAAGTAAAAGCAGAGTTTCCAAAAACTGTCTTGCGTTTATTGATCCTGCACTCCCCTCTAACTAACAATCTTGTAACTTAAGCTGCTTTTTCTGAGCTCAAGTAGAAATCTTTTAGTTGGGGAGCAGCATTTCCATGAATGATCTTATACAATAAACACAAATTGGTATGAGCTAACATTTCAGAAATATGATATTTGTGTTTTGTAACTGCAGCTAAACTACAGACAAGACATTGAAGTGTTTGATATCAATGACTACTTCAGTAGGCCATCTAATCAAATTGGTGCTAAGCTACTGTGAACGCTGTTAAACATTGAATGATGTACGAATTTAAAAGTACATGTAAATTTCACTCAAAATGTTTTAGAGAAATGATTGTTCAGGATTCTAGAAGAGATCACTGAGCATCAACATAAAGGGTTCTGGACTTTATTTCAGTTAACACACATTGGAAAGGCTCTGTGTATTTCCTACCCTTTACAAAACAGGCTGAACAGATATAACCAGCAATGCATAGAGATAAACTAACACCATCGGTAAAGTTAATGGTAATAACGTAAATATTTTGCTCATGTTCATTTCTTGGAGAACACTGGTGTATTGTACTGTAATGTACATGCTGTTATGACGGTGATCACTAGGGGGCACTAGTGTCACGTGTTACTGTTGAGGTTAAAGAGTTGAGGCTGGAAGTAAAAGTTCGCTGGACCTAAACAGCTGTGTCTCAGTGTTTAATTACCTAGTGGAAAACCTACAGAAGACCTAAGGAGACCAGATAACACAACATGGTGTCAGAAGTTTGGCTGCCAAGAGAACAGAGACAACGGTTTGAGTAAGCTAGGTGAATTAGCATCGGGGCTAACGTCTGCTACCAAGAAGATAAAATGGAGCAGTTTAGGCCGCCGTCTCCACTCAGTCTCGTGGCAATCTATCTGAGGCATGGCGCAGGTGGGAACAGAGGTTCCAGCTCTACATGATAGCCACTGGCGCATCAGAAAAGGAGGAAGAGGTAAAAATAGCCATTCTTCTTCACACTATCGGCGAGGAGGCCTTAGAAGTGTACAACACACTCAACATTACCCCAGCCGGAGATGCACTCACAGTGGAGGAGGTCCTGAAAGCATTCAAAACATACTGTAGCCCGCAGAAGAATGTGGTTTTTGAACGTCATCAATTCTGGTCATACCCAATGTCACCAGGAATTGTGGTGGACAGGTACATTACTGAACTGTGTCAAAAAGCAAGGACTGTGAGTTTGGTCAAAATGTAGATGATATGATCAGAGATAAGCTGGTGTTCAGCATAAATGACTCACGTCTGAGAGAGAGACTGCTTCGCGACAAAGACCTTACTCTGAACAAAGCCATTGAAATCTGCAGGTTAGCGGAAGCAGCAAAGACACAGATCCAAGCAATGCAATTGAACCCAGTAGTCCAGGACGCTTCAGTGGACACGTTGAAGAAACCCCCCCATAACCTAAGACCAGGACAAGGTAGAATTAAAGCCAGCAACAAACAGACAGTTTGTACCAAGTGCGGAATTAAACATGAACCAAGAAAATGTCCGGCGTATGGAGAAACATGCCACAAGTGCAAGAAAAAAAATCACTTCTCAAAGTTGTGCAGATCCAACATTGACAAGGACAAGCCATACACAAAAACAAAGATGGTGGATAACTTGGAAGCTGACATGGACACCCTGTACATAGGTGTGGTGAGCAGTGACAAAAATGAGACAAATTGTTGGAAAGAAACAGTCACAATAAGGAAAGTGCCAATCGTTTTCAAGCTAGACACAGGTGCTGATGCAAATGTGCTTCCCATGCAGGTTTACCACAAAATACCAGGTCCTGTTCAGCTTCGATCTACAAAGACTGTGCTGATAGCTTTTGGTGGAGCTCGTATAAGTGCTGAAGGTATTGTGTCTCTTGATTGTGTAACTAGCAAAGGTAGTGCTGTGCTCGACTTCCTTGTGTCCAGGCAAGCGGACAAAGCCATCTTAGGTGGGCAGGCATGTGAGGAGCTGCAACTGGTGAAAAGAGTGGATGTGCTCACACCCAAGTCACACACGCTGGACAAGCTACCAACAACAAAAGAAGAATTGGTGGAAAAATATGCTGAGGTGTTCACAGGTTTAGGTGAGTTCCCTGGACTTCATCACATATACATCGACCCAGAAGCTACACCTGTCATTCATGCATGCAGAAATGTGCCTCTCTCTATAATGGACTCACTCAAAAAGACACTAAAAGGCTTACAGGACAGAGAAGTAATAACACCTGTCAATGAGCCCACAGATTGGGTGAATAGTCTAGTTGCCACTCAAAAGAAGAATGGTACACTTAGGGTGTGTTTGGACCCTGGTGACCTGAATCGGGCAATCAAACGCCAGCATTACTCCATCCCCACATATGAGGATGTCCGGAGCAGGCTGGCAGGTAAATCTATCTTCACCATTTTGGATGAGAAGGACGGATACTGGCAGATTAAGTTAGATGAGTCATCTTCAAAGCTATGCACCTTCAACACGCCATGGGGCCGGTACCGCTTCTTAAGGCTTCCATTTGGAATCAAATCAGCCAGTGAAGTTTTTCAGCAAAAGAACTGTGAAACATTTGGTGACATACCTGGTGTTTTCATTATCGCTGATGATATGATCATAGCAGCGGAAACAGAATCAGAACATGACAACATCTTACAAAAGGTCATGGAGAGGGCGAAAGATGTGAATGTGAGGTTCAACAAGGATAAGATCCAGTTCAAAGTGGACACGGTGAAGTACATGGGGCACATCATCACAGCAGCAGGACAGAAAGCTGATGACACAAAGATCAAAGCCATCGTTGACATGCCCACTCCAGAGGACAAGCAAAGTCTCCAACGTTTGCTAGGAATGACCAAGTTTTTGGCACAATACATTCCAAATGAGGCAACACTCACGGCACCATTAAGAGAGCTACTGAAAAAGAACACTGTCAGGCAGTGGCAAGCACACCACAGTGAGGCGCTGGAAACACTCAAGACTGCCCTCACACAGGCACCCGTTCTACACTTCTTTGACAGCAAGAAACCGTTAACTCTACAAGCAGATTCCTCAAAGGATGGACTGGGAGCATGCTTGCTACAAGAAGGTCACCCTGTGTGCTATGCATCTCGTGCATTAACAGACACTGAGAAAAGATAAGCACAAATAGAAAAAGAGTTGTTGGCAATAGTGTTTGCCACTAAGAGATTTCACCAATATGTGTATGGAAGGCCAGTGATGGTTCAGTCAGATCACAAACCTCTTGAAGTGATCATGCGCAAACCGTTATGCAAAGCCCCAGCACGGCTGCAAGGAATGCTAATTCAACTACAGCCCCAGCACGGCTGCAAGGAATGCTAATTCAACTACAGCCCCAGCACGGCTGCAAGGAATGCTACTTCAACTACAGAGGTACAATCTCACTGTGACTTACACACCTGGCAAACAGGTGCACATTGCAGATACCCTCTCGCGTGCCACTACAAACAGTGCAAATGACATCACTGATGAGAATCTCTGTGAAGAGAGAGTTGTATATGCTTTGGAGGCAACAGATGCTTTAAGTGAAGAGACCCTCAACCAGCTGAAAATGGCGACAGCAGCGGACAAAGTGCTACAGGCTGTGCGTGAAAAACACATGAACGGCTGGCCCACAAAGAGGAGAAATTTGGATAAGACACTCCACAGCTACTGGCCAATGAGACATGATATTAGCATCCACAAAGACATCGTTATGTGTGGGAACAAAATCATGATACCACAAAACTTCAGGAATGTAATCTTGGAAAAGCTGCACATTGCACATCAGGGAGTACAACGCACTAAGTCTAAAGCACGCAAAGTACTGTACTGGCCAGGGATGGGACATGACATTCAGAACATGGTCGAGAAATGCTCACAGTGCCAACAAATGCAACCAAAGCAACAGGTTGAACCGCTTGTTCCCCATTCGATTCCAGAGCTACCGTGGATGAAGTTGGGAGCGGACATTTTTGAGTTGCATGGTCAGTCATACTCGCTGCTAGTGGTCTACCTGACCAAGTATCCAGAGGTACTGAACCTTTCTGACAAGACGGCTTGCACAATAATACAAAGGATGAAATCTGTATTTGCGAGACATGGGATCCCCAAGGAGATTGTGAGTGATCATGTTCCTTTTGCGAGTCATGAGATGAAATCATTTGCAACGAAGTGGGAAATAAAGCTGACTTTCTCCAGCCCAGGTTTTCCATCCTCAAATGGAATGGCTGAGAGAGCCATAAAGACAGTCAAACATGCTCTGAAGAAAGCACTGCAAACTGGTACAGACCCACATCTGGTACTGCTGTCTCTGAGGAATACACCAATTACAGGACTGAACATGTCACCTGCACAAATGTTGATGGGAAGAGTCCTCCGCAGCACACTGCCATGTTCCAGTGCTGTGCTCCAACAATCATCCCTACACAACATCCATAACAAAATAAGAGACATGCAGTTACGCCAGAAACAACACTTTGATAAACGTGCAAAAGCGTTGCCAGTGTTATCCCCAGGTGACACAGTGCACATGCACACACAGCCGGGATGGGAACCAGCAGTTGTTGTCCACCAAAGGAAGGAACCGAGATCCTACATGGTTCAAACCCCAGAAGGAAAGATGCGCAGGAGAAACAGGAGACACTTGAGGAATATCCACCCCAGTTTGTTCAAGGAGGTTCCTGAGGATGAACAGTCTGACCCAGAAGAACATTTCCCTGATGAGCCACCTAGGGAACAAGATGTCCCTCCTCCTGCAGCTGGAGAACGTTTGCCAACTTGTTATGCACGCAGTGGCCGGGCAGTTAGGCGTCCTGCCAGGTTTGACGAGTGAGCGGACATTTATCAGAAATATGTTCTGCAAGTTTGCTTAGTTATGTTATTAAAAAAAAAATAAAGGAAAAAAAAAGTCAACTGAGAGTAATTATAGGAAGTGAACTAGTAAAATGCAGTTAATAAGAGAATGTAATGTTTTGATGTTTGTTGAAATACTTAAATGGAACATAATGACTGCAGAAAATACACATGTGAGTTAACGCTTAAAGAAGTTAATGAATGGTTATAAACTGAAGTTATTCTAAGCAAGTTCATTCTGGAAAAGAGGGATGTGGTGTATTGTACTGTAATGTACAGGCTGTTATGACGGTGATCACTAGGGGGCACTAGCGTCACGTGTTACTGTTGAGGTTAAAGAGTTGAGGCTGGAAGTAAAAGTTCGCTGGACCTAAACAGCTGTGTCTCAGTGTTTAATTACCTAGTGGAAAACCTACAGAAGACCCAAGGAGACCAGATAACACAACAAACACAGTACTTATAGCTGTTGCATTGCTCAACATATTTTGGAAAAACTTGTTTAGCATTGTCGTACAGTTAAGGCTATGACACAAGAGATGGTGTATTGAAAGAAAAGTAGGTGAAATAACATTCCACATACCGTCATGTCATCAAATACGGTTACATGCTCACTGTAGTGTTTTCTGAGACTTGGGTCAAATCCTTTGTGCTTCCACAGATACATTCTGTTCAAAAGAATGTGGTCGGTCTGCAGGTTTCTTTCCAAGTCCTGTAATGTAGTACACATATGAAGACATTTACGTTTTGACTTTTTATAAGACTGCTACTTTGGAGCTACTCTAAAGACGATGATAAATATACGTCCTTACCTTAATCTCTAAATCTGTCAGAATGTCATCTGCATAGACTCCCTCCATAATCTTCTTCCTGTGAAGGACAAATTACTTTTAAATACCAATCTTTAGTTTTCTCAGTTTTCCAAATCCACAAATGATTTTGAAGGGCAATGATTTACTCCTTTTCCTCATTGAATAATACAAGGAGCACTGCAATGACTAGGTAATTTAATGTGTTTTACAATTTGAGGTCGTTTCAAATGCCCAACAAATTTTGCATTCTTGACAGTGTGAGATATTTCTCTTTGATGCTACATATAACAAAGTACGTGGTGTTTTGAAGTAACGGCGTGTAGCTTGAAACTAATTTGAGTGTAGACTGAGCTGTTGTTCTATAAGGGATGCTGCTCGTCTCACACATCAACATGTGTACTGCATCCACAGAAGAAGTCCTCAGAAGCCCGGTCTCCGGTCACACCAGCACACTCAAAATGCAACCAGCTTCTACAAGCAGTGCATTGCACCCACTTGTATTTTTTAATGTGCTCATGGAAAACACTGGACAGTACATTTTTATACATGTCAGAATAAACGTGACATTGTTCAATTTTACATGATAAAATAACAACCTTTGACATTCAACAATTAAGTAGATATGAGATGATAACATACCTGTTCTTTCCAGTTGCCCTTTGAAACAGGCATGTCCTAATCCTCCAGGACAGGCAGTGGATGCTGGAGTCAGGGCTTTTATTTCTGTTCCTTGAAGCTTAACTTCCTTTTGTTTTATAGCCAACATTTCTTGATTAGTTGGTGGGAAATCCTGTAATAATAAAACATATCAGACAATGCAGCACTGAATTTTTATTAAAGTAATCTCCATCACCATATTCTACCAGATGAAGACAGCTAACCTCAGGATTAATGTTTTGGGTGGCATGGTGCAGACGAAGAGTCCTGCACTGGTTCACTGTCAATGCTTCTGACATGGATTCACGCTGTTTAACTACATTTTCAACAGCCTTTTTAGAGAAAATATATGGAATATGGTTGAAACATCAGTTGTAAAACCAGTTAGGATCACAGACGCTCGCTGAGCACACAAGTACGCCACAGTTCACAGAGTCTTGCTGCTTCCACTGTGGAGGATAAACCACAGTCCAGCCTTCAAGCCCACCGGAAGACCTGAAGACATTCCTGCAAAAGATAGTTCAAGCCTCATGTTATAGTATTACTGTAGTATCAAAATTTAACAGGTGACATATTATTTTTGTTTTGTAAATACCTCAGTAGATTCATGTCTTCATCACTGATAATGCAGTATAGTGAAAGTCAAACACCTAAAAGGAAATGCATATTTTCATCATAACTGCAAATTTAACACTTTTTTTCTCATTTTACCTTTTTGTGGCATTTCTATGGGTCTACAGGTTGGGTAGTTTACATGTTGGGTGATGGGAGGTACTTGAATATAGAATTTAAGAATGAATCTTTCCATCAGGGAAAATAAATAATTAAACTGAGGACAAGCAGTGCACCCAGATAAAAAAAACGAAGCTACATATACTACTGAACAATAAAGAAAACTTTACTGTGCTGGGATTTTGATCACTGACTAGTGGCTGGTTAGAGAACCTCAGAGTGGAGACCAGGCAGACAGAAGGAGAATAAACAGTTACAGAGAGGTTGTATCAAAGACGGGAGAGTTAGGGAACAGCACGGTTGATCAAGAGAAATAGTAAAAAACACAGATCTATCAACATCAACACAAGATCATGTTAAAAACTTCTAAACATTTCAAAACACGATACCAAGGTTATAAAAAACAACAACTGACAAATTAAACAACTGTTATTATTCCTTCATCATTTCAAATAATCCTTATAAATATCATTTACTTTCACATGTTGATCAAATTACCTGTAGGCTGCAGTCCCAACATGCCACTCAGTCCCAAAGACAGTGGGGCATTACACAGGGTCTCCATTTCTGATTTGAACTGCGTGTTTATGTTATTGTTGTGCAATTCTATCAAGACCCTGACAGTCTGCTTGAAATGTGTTTCAGTCATTTGGCATAATGAATACCTCACAGAGGCAAGGTCACGATTAAACTGTTCTGCTACGGCAGAGTTGATTTCTTTTCTGAGGGCAGGGCAAATGTTGAGGCTTCTCAGCTTTTCTTCTTGACGTTTTTGATTTTTTTGATGAAACCTGTCATACAGAGAAAACCTTTCAGACGTTCCTGTGACTGGGTGTTTAGCTGACATTCTTTCCACGTTTGCCTCTGGTTGTTGTGGCAAAGGACATCTCAGTTGTTTTACCCAATCCACTTCAACTTGTAGTTCTTTGGTCTTTGCTTTAGTTAGATCGTCCTGGGCAGGTGAACAGAGTCTCCCGTCATGCGGCTTGAAACATAATTGATTTGTGCGGTTGTTAGTGGGACCTGTCCAGCTACATCAGCTATGTAACATGTCGGGAATCTTGAAACTGAGCAGTCCGTCACAGTGGTCTCTTGCAGACTCCATCCAGAAGAGGAAGTTCACATAATAGACAACTCCATGCATACATGAGAAATGGAGAACACCACCTGCCGATTAAACCAAAAACATGTCAATTCTATTAACGTCCATGGATGGGAACATTTAATGTAATGTGTTTTTATGGAAAAACTTCCATAACAATGCCAGCAACTGAATACTGTTACAAACGTTAACTCACCACCAGCTTTTTGTAGTTTTATGAAAAGCTTTGGGTAAACATCTTTGAAATTCAACAGCTCCTGAAGTCTGTTTGTCAAATCTGCTATGGACCCTTCAGAGGAGACACCCAGAGCAAGACAAGCATCCTGGAGATCCTTTTTAGGACACTGGAAATAGAGAATTTACATTTTTAAATATGGACAAAAGATTATCTGTAGATACTGAAAGGGCATAAAGCAATAATTATATCAATTAACCTTTTTGGAATGCAAGATTTGCAGTATGATGTCCTCATTTATTTCCTTTATGGGTTGAGTTCTATGTTCTGTAGTCTTTGTTAGCGCTTTTTTGCACTCTGTTTTAGGAAGGATGGTTCCCACTCTGGTGTGTTCCCCATCCAGGGTGGGAAAGTTGAGTGGTGAGTTGATGTACCGTATGGGTTGCCTAACCCTAACCCTAGGCCATCAAATAGAGAAACATAACTTAAAACTTTAAATGGTCTTTCTTGTACTTGAATTATGTTCCTTATTTAATTTGTATCCATAACATTATAGACTTCAAATTCATACATACCTGATAAGAGGCTCTCTGCTATTAACGACTTGTCCAGATCATTCCATGCCTCAACAATGTCAACCTCTAGGTGTTTGTCTGAAACGCAGTCAGGATCAGGTCTTATAAAGGTCCCCACTAGAAACAGATGTTAAAGTATTCAGAACATTTTCACAAAAATTAATCCTTCAAATATGCACAATTTAAAACTTGTAACAAACATATTTTGGAAAAACATTGTAGAGCTACTTAATGGCACGTGTTGTTTAGGTTGGACAGTCGTGGCCAAAAGTTTTTATGACACAAATCCTGGTTTTTGCAGTTTGCTGCTAAACAGCGTTTACATCTTTGTTACTGATGTTTCTGTGATGTACAGAAATACCACATTCTGGAGTTTATGCAAATTGCTATTATAAAAAGAATAAAAGAAGAAGTAAAAAAATGTACGTCTTACATGGGATATCAAATGCCAGTTTCCAGTTGGCATCCGCTATCAACACAGGTGGGTAGTAACCACACTGGTAGCATGAAAACTGAAAGCCAAAGTCCGTAAGTGACAGGAAGTGATGGAAAGCTCTTCTTATAGTTTGATGGTGGTAGCGATTGTCGTTGAAAAAGTTCAAGGTGTCCAGCATGCGTCCACGTGTTGTCTTGTTCTGTCAAAAAACACCAACATTGTCATAGAAATACATTTCAGCTCAGTTACTTGTGCAAAGAGTCTAAAACTTAAGTGTCACAGACATGTTGAGATTTGATTTTTGTTTGAAAATGATCTCTTTTGGAAGTTGCCCTACCGCTAATCCTGACAGCAGAAGCTCACACAACGGCAGAGTAAGGAGCACAGAGTTGTTGAAATTGTGGAATCCAGAAGAATACTCCTGGAATCGCACAATGTTGCTGCATCCTGGGCATTCTTTTACAGCAACTGAGACACAAAAACATTTTCATCAGTTCATGTTGTATGGTAACTGAACAAAGAGCCTGCATGAACAAAAACATGTTGTAATCGACAATATAACAAAACACAACATGGTAAAGCAATGTTTTCATTCATTTAATACTAAAGTAAGGAAAAGAATTGCACATTTACCTTTTTTTACGTAGTTAATGCCATACACAGTGGCTTGTGTTGTCACCACTTTTGGAAGCCCCAGTTCTGGAGGAGTCCGTCCTGGACAGTAGGGACAGTTTGTTTCCAAAGGAACAAGGGCTGTGGATGGAGTCTTCCTGAGTTCGAAGGTTTAATGACAGTTCTCTTAAGGGTGGGATGCACTTCTGGCTATGAATGTAGTCTGTCATGGCACATATTTTTTGGGTAGTGACACTGCATGGCGTACATGATATGTCATCATCCATCATGTGACTTTCCAAATCCTGAATGTCCTCTGCCTGCACATCGGAGGTGGGCATTAAAGTGTCTGATGACTCTTGGAAAATCCACCACATTGCCATCATTCGATGAATACATCAATGTGATCTTTGGCTTCCCTTACACTGACAATTCCACTTTCCCACAACAGCATCAAAGGTGACACTTGTCCGTCTAAACTGACACCAGTTGTCCGTTTCATATGTGAAAACTGAAAAAAAAAAAAACATTGTTGTGAATGTCCTCTCTAAAATTCACGGGGAAAACACTGTCCACTTGCAGTTTTTTGCAGCTGTATCCAGTTTTTCACACTTATCACCCCACTCAGTGGACATCGAGCCTTTTTCAAGCATGACTTTGAGTGAAGCAGGTGTGAGTTCTGCTGGTTTAACATGTTGCTTAGCATGCTTAGTTCATTCAAGATGAGCACACACTTTTCCTGGATTACCTGAAGACCATGCTATTTGCGACACTTTCGCAGTCTATTTTTGGTGGGTTGGTTGACTTCACAACATGTGTAGGAAAATGTGGACTGTGCTCATGCTTTTGGGTGACATACAACCCGTTTCCTATGTCCACACATATCATAGGCATTGTTTCTATAGAATGAACATCCCTAATATGCCGTTGCAGGTTTTTGTGGGAAAGCTGTGCAATGTGGACAACAGAAATTCTCCGTTTTTGAGTCCGAACTGTCTTTTTCCTCGCCTGTGATCTCTTTTAGTTTTCTTTTTAAGGTGTTCACCTTGGCTGTAAAAAATAAACAAAAATTATTAAACACATTACTCATTAGCACATTCAAAAAACACTTAACCAACAATGTAAGGCAAAGCTGAAAAAAAGTGAATCCTCAAATGGTGAAATAGTTACCATGACTTTTATGTGATGATGTATCTGAAGGAGACAAAATTTTAAAAAATCTGAGAAATAAATAATACCTTGAAGAGTTGCGTTTAATTAGGTCATTAAAAAGTAAGTGCACGGGACACAAGCACAAGATTATCTGGCATTTGACAGACAATGTTGCTTATTGTGGCTTTTCAGCTGTAGGCAGCTTGACTGTGTTCATTTAGACATGCATGTTACTGCAGAGGAAGCACCTACCATGTTTGTCTTGTAAATGCTTCATGAGAAATGTTGATCGTGTGTACACCGATTTGCAGAAAGGACAATGATAGTGACTTCTTAACGTTTGTGTGCCTTCCTTACAGTAACAGGATACCACAAATTTCTCTGAAAAAAGAGCAGTACATTGGTGAATAAGTTCAATGAAGAAAAGGATTACAACAAAATATTGGACATCATGTATTGTAGCACAGTGAAACAATACCTTGTTTATCGCATACAAAGTAAATTTCTTCTTTTAGGTGTTTCCTTTGGGATGAAAAGTGTTTCCAAGTTCCTTCTTTTCACAGAAGATACACTGTGAGGCAGCGCATGCCAACAATGAAGCAACATCAGAAAAGACAAAACGTGAATCTGTAATATGATAAAACAAAAAAGTTCAGAAAAATTTGGTAAAACATCACATTTTGGAATATCAAAAACCTTATTGCATGTGTATTATGCACTGTTAAATATCTGACACTCATTTCCATTAAATCATTTACCCTGTAGGCCCAAGGGCGGCCCAGTGTAGGCCTACAGCAGAGACAGTTGTTCAATAATATGGCAAATTGAAAAATGTAATATAGCCATGCTATACTGACAGGTTAACTGCAAAGCAAGGGCTGCAACACCTCGTAAAGATATTTGATCGGTTGTACATGCAGGTAAAACTAGCAAATGAAATCTGGCATGTTACACAGAAACACTGAAATTATAACAGCGTAAATCTGGTTTCATACATATGGGCCACTTATTTAATTAGGGGGTGTCAGGGACTTGCACAAACCAACCAGAGACGCACTGCTCATGAGACTCAACTTAAATAGTGACTGATCAGACCACTCGACACACACACACACACACACACACACACACACACACACACACACACACACACACACACACACACACACACACACACACACACACACACACACACACACACACACACACACACACACACACACACACACACACACACACACACACACACACACACACACACACACACACACACACACACACACACACACACACACACACACACACACACACACACACACACACACACACACACACACACACACACACACACACACACACACACACACACACACACACACACACACACACACACACACACACACACACACACACACACACACACACACACACACACACACACACACACACACACACACACACACACACACACACACACACACACACACACACACACACCTAATCAATTCAGGTAACTCAAATAACTAAATCATAATTACAAACTTCCTATCCATAAAAGAAAACATCTACATTAAATTAAACACAAGCATAAACATGAATCTCCCCTCCCTTGGGAGTTGGTAGACTCCAGAAGTGCTGATTAGGCTTCCTGAGGAGATGAGCTGCAGGTGTGAGACTCCATGGGAAACTCCAAGTCACTGAGGTAACAGACACTGCTCTCACAGAACCCCCTCCTTAAGAGTCCACACCGTACCAGCGGGAAAGATCATCAGCAGTCATTTTAACCTTGCCTGGGACACGCTGTACCAAAAAGCAAAAGGGTTGCAACAACATCGGACCTCAGACCAGGCCAGTAGAAATGGGGTTTAATACGGGCCCATGTCTTCTGCTCCCCCAGGTGGCCAGCCCTAGGAATAGCATGATCCAACTCCAGCACCATCTCTTGTACCTCTCGTGGGACCACCAGCTGCCTCTGTACTCCTTGTTGCCGATACAAAATATCATCCTGCAAAACATGCTCCGCACAGCCATTGTGCTCACCACTCCCATCTCCCCGGGCTCTCTCTCTCAGGTCCTCCTTAGATATCTTCGCAGTATGCAGAAACTTCTCCCGCCTTCGCTGTTGACGGGACTTGCTTAGTTTCCCAGGCTGCACGTCCATATGGGGATCTCCGATTAGCCCTCTCTTTGGAAGTCTTCCAAGCGGTGTAACTCCAGGGTTGTCCCTTGCGCCTCGCTGCGACAAACACCTCCGCCAACGAGGCTGCCTTAACAGACTCATAGTCACGTACCTCCTCAATGTCCATGTGTACATAGGCACTCCTGGCTTTCCCAGTGAGCAGTGGTACAAGGTGGAAAACCCAGTCAGCCATCGGCCAATAACAGGATGCAGCAATCCTCTCCAAAGTGATTAGGAAATGTTCATTGTCAGTGTGTTGACTTTTCCAGTCCAGGCTCTGAGAAGGAACGACACTGACCTGGAGAGCTGATGGTCTTGTCACCCTTGGCCACCTGTTCCTCGTTGCATGGTTTCTTCCCTGGGTCTCACTAATCCAACACATACTCATGGTTAGCAAGATCCCACCACTTGTCAGGGACTTGCCCAAACCAGCCAGAGATGCACTGCTCATGAGACTCAAAACTCCATTTTATTTTGGAGCAGCTTCAAAGTTAACAGGAACTTTAACCCAATCACAGCACAAGACACTCTATCCAGAAAAACAAAAAACATTTCAGACACACCAGACACTCAACTTAAATAGTGACTGATCAGACCACTCTACATACAAGAGGGGAACAATTAACTTACAATTAACACACACATCC